TTTAATTGCGTTAGTAGAATGAGTAGTAATTCTAATAGGCCGACACTTTGGCGTATTTAAGTACTTGTTAAAATTCTCTTAAATCGAAATCAGACTTATTAATGAAGCAGGCTGTTTTGATTAAATGCTGTTTTCGGTATTATTAGTATGACGTCACTTTAGATATTTAGCTGAACCAGTTTGGCGAGTGACCGCAAGCCGTAAATACAGGTGCGCGTGCGCATACTGCAAGCTGCAAGTTCCTCCGTTTTATTACACGAATTATATATGGCATTACAATTGTTCTAAAACATATGCTCATTCTTTTGAATGTCAAGCTTTTTTTGAATTAAGAACTAGAATAACGATGTTCATAAAAATGTGTTGTATGCCGACTGTACTTTAATTGAATATTAATAACATACCATAAACTATTATACTGACCTCAAACATAAGATATAACCAACAAAAATACTTAAGATGATACTGAAAGGGACCAAACCAAGACTAGGCAGAACTGAAGGAGAATAGAAGAAGAAAATACTTTTCATATAAATAAAGATGTGAACGTCAGTACTCGTATTTGTCCAACTGAAGGTACAGATACCGGCAAACATCTTGAACAAATGTCCTTGCCTGCGAAGAAGCAATTTTTAGGTATCACTGGTAAGGGGGGCGGCGGGCGGTGGTGCGCGGCGGCGGGAGAGTGACGGGTCGATGGCGTGATTGGTAAATCAGTTGACGTTTATGGTATGTTATAAAAATTCAATTAAAGTACAAAGTACAGAAAGTGCAACAGCAGATTTTTTCCAGTATGGTCTGTAAATACCGCCCTCTTGGGCCAATTGGTGAAGCGTTCGGTATATTTTTTTTTGTTTTTACCTGGATTGGACCTTTAATTGGATTAAACGCATGTGATGGGTTCAATTTCAGAAATAACAATTTAATTAATTTAAATATCAATTAATACTATAATATAGTTAACTACAGATTCGCTATAATTATATACGATTGTTGTCAAAATATACACCTGTATATAATGATGCTATTAAATAAAACCTATATTATAATGAGACAAAACAAGAGTAACGTGATATGATTCAGCACATGATATCTATAATTCCCACAGTCACCGCTCGTATTTAATGAAAAACATGGAATCTTATTACGTAGCCTTGACATAAGTACGGCCGTTACAAAACATTTAATACGATAAATATACGTATTGGTTATAAAACCAGTATATAAAAAGCTAATATGGCCTTAGTTACGTACCTATTTTTTATATAACTATGAATAAATAATAAAGATTTTTTAAAACAGCAATTCTAACGGTAAAACCGTAAGGTGATCGTAAAAAGATCCTAGGATAAAACATTCGAGCCCTTTTACTTTTTCTATGTATATTCTAACGGTGATCACCTCAGCCGCAGAATACTGTCTGCGCTATTAAGTGAAAATGCGGACTACTTGCAATGCACACATTCGTAATTACACAAAAGCTATCACATAAAATGCGCTTCGCTTCGAGCTTATCTACGCCTATCTGAGGGTTTAACTTATCTGAAGTCATTTAATAGGTCCGCTAGACCTTATGTTATTTCCTATTTCATCGATGCTTACCGTCAGCTATAGAGATAAGCATCTCGTTTCACTGGAATCTATTGATATGTAGCTATGAACCCTTGAAAAATTCGTATTGGCACTTAAGCCGACCACGTTAAACGACTACAATTACAGACGATGTTAAGTAACTCCTATAAATCTTAATTAGTTAAAAAATATAGTACTTTTATTAGCAATATTTAGTCATTTTAATGTTTTGTTCTGTAGTTTAGACACTTGGATCAAGTTCTAATTACCTTGAGTACCTACGGTTTTAACGAGTTTGCCAATATAGAGAAAATTACGTATATTAGATTCATTAAAGTTAGTACTAGCTTGACCTACAGTGTAAATTAGATTTAGTAACAATTATGCGTATGACTAACAACTCGAAATGTTTAGAGGCTTGGCACGTAATGATCGAAATTTAAACCACATCAAAACGACCATAATTAGATACCGTAAGCTCAATTTCATATTGTTTCGCACACAAATTGCTCGCCATTACGAGATCGCTACACCGCAATAACTGTCTCACTCAGATGGACTGTAAAGTGCATTTCTTTGGTACGTATATTTTAAATGTTTATAAAATTATTTTAAATAAGACCACACCCAGAATAGAACGAATGCCATTCCCAAGTTGTAGCGCTGAAAATAAGGAGAAAAATGAAACTTAAGCAATAAAGTACTGCCCTCTCATTGTCACTACCGCGCTAGAAACCCGACCTACCTTGATTTTTTATAAGGGCTCGTACGCCAAAACCTCAATGGTTGCTTCTGACTGCACAATTTTCGTCATAAACCATAATTAAATAACTTTCTCACGAATTATACCGACTAGTAGTAGTAGTAGACTAATTTTCATACCTTTAGTAGTACTAGTGAAAGGTATGAAAATTAGTTCCGTAGATTAGAGATTATTGCGTTCAAAGGAACGTACAGACGTAAATATTACAGTGACCACACCGATAAAATAAAGTAGGTAAGTATTTCTTGCAATGCAGTTGTTTAGAAACAAGAAAACGAAAGATACTAACAGTTGAAACTTGCGAGTGATTAGCTTCTCGCTAAATAGTCTCTAAACAGGACCTCAAGAAATGACTAGAACAGTACACAAAGTTTTTACTTCAAGGCTTCGAATTGAGTACATTTATTTACTTGGAAATTCCGTGCTTGTATTTTTACTATTAATACGAAACTTATATGTAAAAGTTCGTTTAATATTGTGTTTAATTTTCGCGTACATATTTAAATAAAACCTCTTTAGATAAAATAATTACATAACTCGTTTCAAATGATTTTCAGTAGAAACCTTAATTAGACGTGCGTAAAATAGGCGATAGACATATTTGATAATCTTCTAAATAAATGTGATCGTTAGATTTTGTGCTAAACTTCTGTGTTATCCTGTGTCTACTCAAACGAAGTTGCAGTTCAAAGTAGTCGTAATGTAAGACGGATTTGATAGCGCTTCTGTTAAAAACATATTTGCGATGTAGCACTTACATTGCGTATTTTATATAGGACCAAGAAGTTAATGTGAATGATTATATCGCCCGTCTGCATCGGAATATAATGTAGATATGAACAAATAGTAAATATATGTACAAAAAATTATAAAGTATTATCCCATGTTCAACAGAACACCATAACAATGACCGTGAGTAGTGTTTATTACTTGCCAGTTGTGGCCAGCAGCCGTGACTTTACATTGTATAACAATGGGAGCACTCAATTTTTAAAAACTGAAAAGTCGTAAAGCTTATTTGACACTTTAAAACAATTCAGAGAATTCATCTTGAAATAACATTGTATGTGTAATGTAATTAAATACATATTTACTCTACTTTTAAAAAGGTCTACTACCTTTCTAGATAGATTCTCCTTGATAGATTCTCCAGCAGGCAGAGAAGTCTGGTCACCTAATTACCTTCAAACTGTGTTTGGTTACGGTACTTAACAATATATATGATTATTATAATATTATAATATATCGAACGAAATTATATTTTGTTCTAAAACTTGATTTCATAAACCTGTTATCAAATCCCAACGGACATTAAAATGAAAGAATTTTTAAAACGGTCTAATAATACGTTATTCGACATAATACTTGTTATTTAAAAACACTTATAGCGAATTTTGTGATGATCCACTTTTCTTCGCTTATACTTCATTTTCTATAATTCCCAATGAATTTTAACAGCAATATTGTATATGATATTTAAAAGGTAATCTCTAAAATAACACGAAATATTTTTATTGATTTACATAAAAAGCAAAATTTGACAAATTTAATATAAAAAATTCTCGTGTCGCGTTGTTTGTGGTTAAACTCCTCCGAAACAGCTTGACCGATTCTCATGAAATTTTGTGTGCATATTGGGTATGTCTGAGAATCGGACACAGCTATTTTTCATATTAATCAAATCATCAGGGTGGTAATGAAAGATAAGCTCTGACTAGACTAACTTATACATTAACTATTAATAAAAATATTTTAAAAAGTCGAGCCCATCGCTTTTAGTTGTTAACAGCATTTTTCTGTACCCATTTATATGTACGATCATTAGAATGACTGCCGCTTAACTACGTAGATACGTAAAATAGATTCATAACAAATCAAAAGACGATTCAAAGCTAAAACCCTATACAGATAAGAGCAGAATAAAATAAATTTTAGATAATTTTGCCAACCTGCCTGATTTAGCGATCTCGTAGGGAGAATTTCAATATACATTATGTATGCAGCAGAACCGTTACTCGTTCATTATTCATTAATGAATTCACGTGCATCTTTATCTTGTACGAGATCCATCGGATTTGCATGTAAGTTAACAATCGTCCTATCTACAGGTAATTAGAAACTTGTGAATAACGGTAAGTCAGCGCTACCACTCCCATAAAAGCTCAGCTTCCGTGATGAACAGTTTCATATTAGAGATACAGTTATCTCTTAATAGTGACAGATTTTAGTACATATCCATGTATTTACTAAGTCATTAACGCATGTGAACTAATATGACAATTGAATTTAACAGGTGTTACCATAAAAGCACATATTTATTATTTAACATAAATCCTTACATTCGTTTTCATTAATTATGTAAAAAACAGAAAAGAAATGGATTGTTAAAATCTTGTGTAAAAACTTATGCAACGATGCAGCCCATATGGCAGTTAACATTCTTCAAGATATACTTAAACCTAGGTTAGACCGTGATTTTCACAATAGCTTACTGATATTGCGACTATGACAATGACTTTGAGTGATTGATGCGATAGTAATTCCGGACACCGTTGCTCGTATCCAATACAGCTGGTATGTATGGACATAAAACATTACAGTACCAAGTTCAATGACGTTGTTATAAACATCGTTGTAAATAATGATACATATTTGTAATATTTAATTAAGGACCCTTAGCATGAGACTTACCATTGTTTGCGTCTGTTAGCACATGTAAAATTCCACACAGTGTTGCTGGGACCGAGTTGTTTTGTTCGATAGTGTTATATTCTTTAGTATCGGTTTGAGCTGGCTCAAATAACGCTAAGTCCAACCCGTCCATGTCACTTCGCACTGATGTCCTATCTTCTTCCACAGCCCCATCGGAAAACTGTTCAGGTGATTCCACTTCTTTCGGACTGCGACTGCACACGCCATCACTGAGAGGATCGCAGCAACACGTATCAGAGAAAGGTTCAAAGTCTCTACAATCAAACTCGCATCGCTCAAAACTGTCACAAGTACACGATGACAAAGCATCTGACTCCGAGCCATTCACGACAAACAAATTTGCTCCATTTACATCTTTCTGTTGAGCTTCTTGCGACGATATAAAAAACACATTAGATGCGTATGGCACTTTTTGTTGCACAACGTCATTACTATCCAATCTTTCGTTGGAGAAATTAAGATCTTTTTGGTGCGCGACACTTTCTAAGGGAGAGCGACAGTCTTCATAACGAGCGAAACTCGATGTATCGGTCAAATTTGAAGATCTATCTACGGAATATGCATCTGCGTAGGGATCTCCGCCATCGCTATGTGGTAGGCGGTAAGGAACGTGGGAGCGCGCGCCATGGAAGATAGTTGTGTAAGGGCAAGTGTGCAAGGGTCGAGAACGGTCTGCACGACGAGGATAGCTAGCGGCGAAGGGGTCACGAGGTGGACCCCCTTCGGCTTCGATGAACGCCTCACTCGTCGACAGCACGTTGTACCGCCAGTCGGGCATCGCTAAACACCATCACTCCATTAAATCACTAATACGAATCTCTTCTCCTCATAGTTCACTAAATATGACCCACTTTCTAGTAACTGAGGAAAATCAATTTCACTACGGTTGGCATCCGCAACTGCGCAAATATTAATAAAAACCAGTTATGCACTTAGAATGACATCATTGTACGCATGATTGTTTTTGAATGTTGAAAGCCTAAATAATGTTATTAACCTTATTTGTCAATACATGTGCATAATTTATCAAACACAATCTAATCGCGTTTCTTTATCGCTGATAATTAATAATACATTATATTATTTATTTTATAAAAACAATTAAGCACTTATTAAGTTTAAAAATTAAAATTTCTAGTGTGTTTTTTTTAAAAATGCTACACGAATAATAAGCGTTTAGATTTTGTATAACACAAACTTTTATCATCTAGAAGAGAATAAAACATCAGATTATTCACACAAAATTCGGCAGTTCGCGGAAAATCTCCAAATTAAGGCATTGCAAAAATTACAAGGTTATAAAGGCAACAGCTATCGATTAATTACAACATTTGAGGCTAATTAAAAAATGTGTAGATATTTTAAATATTTCATCCGGTAAAGAGGAATTGTGTAAGTATAAAAGGTCAATGCCTGAGAGTCGTGCTTAGAAAACGCAATTATTTTGTAAGTACTTTGAAATTGTTATAGCGGGCTGATAATAACAGATGCGGGCCTGTCCAGTCTTTAAGCTTATTGTACCAGAATAGGCTTTCGTGAAAAGTGAATAGTTAATCGTTTGTAGTTCGTGATGCCCGCAGCCAGAGATCTTGTATAGATCCTGCGGCCGGTTCGGTAAGAATACACGTAGGAACAAAACTTATCATGAATACAAAATAAGAATGTAATTTTTACAAAAGCAATATCTGTATAATGAATTTATATTGTTAAATAAAATCTTTGGATCTTTTTGTTTATAAACATAAACAATAACACCTTAGAAGTTAATAGTTTTGTTTCACTATTTAATTAACTTCGGCAACATTAACTTGTATATAATGGCGAAATGAGGATTTTAAACCAGGTCTGCAGATGTCATCTCATCTAACTTCCCCTTATTAACTTTTACCTACATACTGGTTGAGCTGGTATTGTACCGTACGTAGAGTTTCAACTCTCAAAATGTTACCCAATAAATTCCTATAAATAAACTGATACAATATTTTTATATTAATCTTAATTTTCCCTAAAGCACACAATCCATACATAGTCATAATTTACCTATTCACTAATACTCTTTATTGAGAACAATCAATAAAATACGTAATGCCAAAAGTAGTAAAACCGTTAAAAAAACACTCCGCTCAACACTGTCACAAAAAATATTATCGGCTTGCGTGCGCGCATGACAACGGTGCGCGTTCCGAGTCGCGCCCAGGCAGACTGGATGCTAACCGCGCAGGGCGACTTACACTGGGGCTTGAATTTTGAACACCACAATTTTCTTATACCAAATATTTTTTTTATTTTGAGGTAAATCCTAACTCGTACAAGCTTTACAAATATGATTATTAATTAATGGACATATTTTAAGCAACCATTTTCAAAATTATGGTTAATTTAACTAGTTTTCTTGAACATATAATACTACTAGGGCATATTTAGAAGTTACCATCAACAATATTAATAAAAGATAAGCAACTTCAATTGATAATGTATGTTATTACTAATAAATAAAAAAGGAAGCAATATTCTAGCTTAATGCGAAGCTTATGTTACAAAGCCATGTGAGTCACGTAATTCAAAAACGTATACCTTCCGGACAGTATGATTACCAGTAACATCTAGTGGCTTATCTATTTGAGCTTTTTAGTATCATAAACTGACTGTAAGCCTCAATTATTAGTAGAAAAAACTGACTCCAGAGTAGGAAGAAGGACTAAACATTCTACAGTTGTCTTGTAAAGAACTATAATAGTATTACTACTAATTTAAATGAGGCCGCTTCTTTGCAAATGACGATTAAGTACAAACGATAATTTAAATTTAACCTGATCATAAAAAATAAATCATTTACTTATTTATGGTTTTGTTTGAATAAAATACAGAGACAGAATTTGTAGGAGTTAGCGCCAATCGCTAACAATATTTGGTATGAATAGTAGGTATAACTTGGCTTATTACTTATAAGTGTTAAGTTATATATACATAAATATATTATCTAAATTATATCTATTTAAATCTATTACAAATTAGTTTACATCGAATCTGAAGTCCAGACAAATACGTTCCAGTTTAATATATAATTTAAACTTAGAACACCAGTTAAGGTCACATTAATTCTGCATTTAGTATAAAATAATAGCCTGGAGCTTAAGGATGGGGCTGGATCATAAACATAGTACGGAAACATCTCGTCGTAAGTAAAGGTACGAGGTTTATGTGCGCTCTGAATGTTAATGTACCGGCTCAGTAGAATTAATTGAATGGTAAGACTTATTTCGTAGTTGCATCTGATCACAGAATCCTTTTAATATTATTCATATAAATAATTCCCATAGCTATTTCATATCACGCAGGTTTTAGTTTATAAAGAGAATATCTAAATTGTTAGATGGCCCGAGTGTTGAACCACCTACCGGCAATATCTTTACCTTTTAATAACAATCTAAATGCATTTTCTTGAATTGATCTTAAATATACGTTAGGGAATGTAATGAAAAAATTAATATTTTTCAAATTAAATCATTTCCGTAAGCAAGGAACCATTATTTTCTAGTTTCGTTTTTATTTGATTAGGTTTAGAAATGATATTTTAAATATGAACGAAAAAATTGCATATTATGTACATATTTTAATGTATTATAATTTATTTTATAACTTAAAATGATAAATTAAAATTCAGTGGCTAAATCTTCATAGTACGGAAAACTCCGCGGTTTAATAGTCTAGTAAAAAGTAGCTACTTTTTGCGTTGCGTTTTCTACATTTCTTTTTATACAGATTCATAATATTGAATAATATATGATCTTACAATATTACATTATTGTCAATATTTAAGAATAATCTTTCAAAATATATTTAATAACCAGTCCTTACATTCTTTGTGTCGGTTAATAAAACCCAGATGTCACAATTTGATACAGCAATGACAATTGACAATCATAAAAAGCATTCAAAACTCTACATGATAATATCCCATTTTTAATGCTATTGTTGACTTTGATTTAAACTTATCTCCGAGGGAAAAGACTACTGGGGGAACCAACGTAACCCCAACAAACCCATATTCTATAATACAAGTGACAATGGATATCAGGGAACTTTAGATGTACATCTGGTAAGTACGACTTATACCTAAATTACTAAACCTTATTTTGTCTTTCTGTGTTGTTACCTTTTTTTGTAAAATGAGTTCGTTTCACAACAGTGGACAAGAAACATTAGACCAACTCATATCCACTTGACTTCGACAATACAGGGGCTTGTAAGTTTTTATCTGACAGCTAAAAAGAGGGTGATATGAACCCCTCGGGTGTACTATCAGCAATCACACGCGAGCATTATCCTCAAACCAGTTCGTATTTGCATTCGCAGACCGTGTTTAGATTTAACGAGGCGAACTTTAAGTTTTATTACCACATTTTATCTTTAAACATTTATTTCTTAGCTTTGCTTGCGAAAAGCAAATAATAAGTTTATGTAACGCACACCTACGTTGAGTGAACTAGTCATTTATTAAATATTGCAGTTTTGAAGGACAGACGTCTGAAAAAAATATGTATATTTAAAGCAGTTAAATAATTAATGTAACAAGTATTACCACTTGTGTTTTTTTGTTACCTAAATATCATTATTGAGAAACTTCTAGAAAATAACAAACGTGACATTTTTTTTTTAAATTAAGGCTTATTCTATAAATAAAAGTTCGATTAACACGGGAAGCTACTAGCTATACGTATAGACAAACTAAGCTTATGGCGCTCAGTTTACTAAAGTTAAAGTCAATATTTCCTGAGAGCATTGGTAAATATACAGTATCGTGGTATCATATTTCAAATTAGACAATTTTTTTGTGGTGCATTTAATTTTATGTATGTATGCAATGTAGTTTATACACAGTCACTATCTCACTAGCTATGTCCCGCAACGTCACCCGACGTATGTATTTCTTCTATAAATCAACACAATATTTTTTTTTTCAATTCGAACTAAAAGCTGCTAAGATTGGCGTATTTAACGAAATCAACAAACAACATCTTCATGTTCATACTTATGAGTATAAATCTCTTTCTTAATTTTGATTTTTATAAAATGTAACAATTAAAAATATTTTATAGAATAAAGTACAATATAAAATATGTATGGAGTGAAAAATTTAGCAACTAAACCTCATTGGGTTCATCAACTTCACGGCAATTAAAGAACAATGACGCCCACTGTAACACCAACATCCGTCATTTCAAATCACCAAACCATTAATCGAGTTGCAAAAATTCTTAGTGTAAAATAATTAAAATATAACCAGACAAAAAGTATATAGGTAATTAATATGGAGATTGTTTTATGATAGCGTTTTTTAAGTGCGAGTATTTTGCGCTATAGGTAATTATATTTGTTAACTACTTTTTTAACAGGCTCATGGAACAAGGTAGGAACGAGTACGAGGTAAATAGTATTTGAGTGTCCCATATACATATATATAATGTCTGCGTAGTGTCCAAGAAAAACTTTCAGTTGTATGTTTAATAATAACCACAATGAAATTTATTAAAACCATTATTATTAATATTTATATAATTTATTTAAATATATTTTCATAATCGTTTGTTGAGAAATATACGGTACTGCCATCTAGCAAAAGATCTCTATTTACTTAGGACGCGATATTTGTCTAAGAGTCAAAAGTCATTGCACAGATGGCGCTAATACATTTTCTTAATATATCTACTCAGCGCTAGATGGCAGAACTAATACAAATAGAACTGTGCTTCAAAATAATGGTATATTATAATTAAA